GCCGTGTGCTGTAGGCATTAGACGCTTTTTGGATGGGTGAAATCTAGTGCGTTCGCGTAACCGACATGCTCACGACTGGCGCACGCGCAGCGGCCGTGTGCTGTAGGCATTAGACGCTTTTTGGATGGGTGAAATCTAGTGCGTTCGCGTAACCGACATGCTCACGACTGGCGCACGCGCAGCGGCCGTGTGCTGTAGGCGTTAGACGCTTTGTGGATGGGTGAAATCTAGTGCGTTCGCGTCACCGACATGCTTGTAGCAGTATATATCTGAGTATATCTGTATCTATACAGAGAATTGTTGAAATTAATGATGACAATGATGCAAACAATGTTAAAAATCAAGTACATTGAAATTTATGTAAATATTTGAATAATAAAAAACCATATAAACATGCATATAATTGTTGCTCGGAGTGTCAATAGATGTGAAAACCAGATTGATGTTGATAATTTTTATTCAAACATTGTGAAATTTCAAATTTTAATACTAAAAGTTCTAAGTTTTCACTTCTATCGGCAGTCCCTATAACTGCCAATTTTTTTTTATGTTATAAATGTCTCTATTAACGTAATAAAAAACAAAAACAAATATGATCAAACACTTATTAAAATAGAATGCAATAAAAATGTCAATTTTAGGTTTCAGGAGTATGACCTACTTTTGTACATGATGCAAATCGGTTGCCCGTGATAGCGAAGTCATAAGACCCACCTTTTTTAATTAAAAATAATCGGTACAAAAGTTACCAATTCTTCGTTTTGTAACTGATCGCCAATCGAAGAAGCATCTTAAAATGGCATACACATTATTTGAAAAATTGGCAACCTGGCATGAATATTTTCTTCTATCACATAAGAGTACACTCTTTTTTTAATGTTTAATTCACGTCCTTCATAATTATTGCATAAATAATTAAAATTACAAGAATTATGCGTCAGTTAAATAATTAAAATTACAAGAATTATGCGTCAGTTAAAACTAATGCTGTCATAAATGTAAACTTTGTATAGTACTTAATGAATGTCACTGTTATTAATCGAATAATATAGTGACAATCATAAGTTGAAAAAGAATAAATTATTTAATTTATAAGACTGACACTGGCTACAACGACTGATAAAGTGAGACTAGTGCCCGTTGCCCAGCGACAATTTTCGGCGTTTTCTCTTTGTGCGAATCTTCGTGTAGCTTTCTGTCTCTCTCACTTATTTACGTCCCTCTCACATAACAGATTTTGTTAGCTGTTAACGAATTTACTTTCAATCGCAAAACTTTATACTGTTCCATAAAAAAAATTAACTTCAAATACTAGTGAGTACAAACACTTTACAACATGAATGCTCCTTTAAAAAAAATTAACGGTTGTGGTTTTAACTGTATAAAAAAAGACTTTCTCTTATTCTCATCGTGTTGTCAGAAACCTTTCACGCTGTTATTATACAATAACATAAAACATTTATAAGTATTACGGGTGTCGCTTCCCCACAATAGGTTTGCAAATCGCCTTAAAAAATGCACCCGTAAAAAATTTTTTTCATTTCAGTTACAACGTCTTCTTCACTGTAATAACATACGTTATTCCTATTGCATCTATGACCTTCACATACGCTAGAATAGGAATAGAACTGTGGGGCTCCCAAAGTATAGGAGAATCGACTCAAAGACAAATAGAAAACATCAAAAGCAAACGTCGCGTAAGTATTAGTAAGTAAGTACCGCAGAAATAAGTTGGTTTTTTGAGCTTAACGAAATATTTTGTAAAATAAAACAAAATAAAATAATAAGTTGAATAAATGTATGTTTTATAAGATACATGCTTTATTACAAACAAACATTATATACTACATACAACAAATGGACTATACCAACTGCGGCGATCCTTCTCAAAGCACTACCAAGTGCAGCGATTTTAACGATAACAGTCAGTACCAATTGCGGCAATCGTATTGTTTTATTTTAAATGATGATTATAAATGCTGTGCAATGTGTATTATATAAAAAACCACCAAACAAATAAAAACCAAATTTTTCCATGAATAAATTTCCTATAATGTTACATATTTGAATACTGTCACGTATACTACATTTATTTAACTGCTTTCTGTCTAACTAACAGTCCTATTATTAATCAGTTATCAATTCACCACTATATGAAAATTTTGTCACTTCTTCGCCTCGAACTCTCTGATTCGTACTGCTACAGTCGATCTCTCTGGTCTGCTTTGCCATTTCCTGCACTAATCTTCCAAATCGCTTCAGCTTCGTGGCCAACAAAATTGCTCGCGTACCTTCCCTAGAGTCTTAGTAACACAGAAATGTCCTTCCCGACGGTGTGCTTCTAAGGCTTCTAAAATTCTTTTCTCCGGAAGTATTACCTGGAATGTTTGTAATTCCATTCTTTTCCCACATTCTTTTCAAAACGCCGTGGTCCAAATTAAGGGAAGCCCACTACGCCCAATAACTTTTTCGGTTCCGGCTTCTTTCTATCTCATTATTGGGTCAATATCTTCGTCCTTCCTCTGATCTTTAATTAATGCCTTATCCTCCCAGGAATTCTCAGACTGAACGGTAGTTAGCTTAAAATAGATTGATGCCAGGATCGTAGATGGACAATGTCTAATTAGCACTTGTATTAATTACGTTATCAATTTACCACTATATGAACGCTTTGTCACTTCTTCACTCTTTCTTGAGGCTGACTGTGCTTCTAGAACGGTCTAGTAAATGCCGTCTAGAAACCTGTTCTTCCTTGCCACTATGTGTCTTTGATTATCTACATACATGTGACAATAAAATCTGTCTCTAAATGTAAACATACATCTATCTTCCTATGGATTATACTATATTATTCTTAAATACCTAATATACGTTCATTTCTAATAGGGACAAAACTAATAACTGGTATGTTTTTAATGTACATATTGCATTTTATGTGAAATTGTAGCTGTATCTTTAAGAGACCATATTTTAAGTTCACATTTTGAGAGGCTTACTAATTTTTTATCTATAAAACCTATAAAACTACACACACACGCATACGCACACCCATGCGCCGGTCAACATACGGGACTCCTGCGTCAAGGAAACTGTTCACACACTGATCAATGCAATGGTATTATTCTGCATTGACCTATGACACACTGGCCTATTCAACTGACTACAACTTTAAAGAACTATTTACTCTAGGCTGGCTGTTAAATAAACATTGTCATTCGCACTTAATCTAATCGAACAGTGCATAAATACAGAACAAGTACAACACGGATATTTCTAATTACCAGCCTGCGTGACCATACCAGGGACGGAGCGGTTCGTGTTTATATTTCCAAAAACGTTTTTCTCCTGAACTTTCGGACCATCAAACATTTATGTTGAATTATTTTGAATAAGTGGAAGTAGGTTTTTATGAGAATAAACGTTTATTGTAATAGAATTACAATTTTATGCACTCTACTCGTAGTGTCACGGAATAGTATTATTTATTAATATATAGTAACTATAGCAAACTAACAAACTAGGAAATTACATTAGAAAGCGCTGAATTTAAATTAACATTTCAATACTCTCTTCAAATTAGAGCCTTCTTTTATAAATAGCATAAAGTACAAAAAAAATGAACTACTTATAATTATTAAGTTTGCACATGCCTATATTATTTCTCATAAATATAAATTTATCCTTAGACAATTCACGTCCTTCATAATTATTGCATAAATAATTAAAATTACAAGAATTATGCGTCAGTTAAATAATTAAAATTACAAGAATTATGCGTCAGTTAAAACTAATGCTGTCATAAATGTAAACTTTGTATAGTACTTAATGAATGTCACTGTTATTAATCGAATAATATAGTGACAATCATAAGTTGAAAAAGAATAAATTATTTAATTTATAAGACTGACACTGGCTACAACGACTGATAAAGTGAGACTAGTGCCCGTTGCCCAGCGACAATTTTCGGCGTTTTCTCTTTGTGCGAATCTTCGTGTAGCTTTCTGTCTCTCTCACTTATTTACGTCCCTCTCACATAACAGATTTTGTTAGCTGTTAACGAATTTACTTTCAATCGCAAAACTTTATACTGTTCCATAAAAAAAATTAACTTCAAATACTAGTGAGTACAAACACTTTACAACATGAATGCTCCTTTAAAAAAAATTAACGGTTGTGGTTTTAACTGTATAAAAAAAGACTTTCTCTTATTCTCATCGTGTTGTCAGAAACCTTTCACGCTGTTATTATACAATAACATAAAACATTTNTAACATTTTCATAATATTTTTCTTTAATAAAGTTATATTTAATATCTATATGTTTGCAGCGCTTGTGAAATTCACTATTTTTAATGACGTTGATTGCACTTTGATTGTCAATGTTTATAATCACAGACTGTTGTTTATATTCACTTATTTCCTGTAGTAGTTGTCTTAGCCACATAGCCTCTTTAGTGGCAGCACAAGCAGCCATGAACTCTGCCTCTGTTGTAGATAAGGCCACTGTTTGTTGCCTTTGGGAGGACCACGTAATGGCGGCTCCATTCTTAAGAAAGACATAACCAGTTGTTGATCGTCTTGTTTCAACATCGTTGGCGTAGTCAGCGTCACTGTACCCTACTACATCAGTGCTGTTTTGCTTTGACATGTAGCACAATCCATAATCTTTAGTATCTTTTAGATACTTGAGTATTCTTTTGACGGCATTCCAGTGAGATTCATTATGACTATTTAAGAATCTACTCACCTGACTGACTGCAAACAAAATGTCTGGCCGGCTTACTGTTGCTGCATGTATGAGAGATCCTACGGCTTCTCTGTAGGGATATTTTCTTTCAGGTAGCCCATCAGCCTTCATGAGTTTAACATGTGGATCAGCCGGTACACTGTTAGAGTTTGCTTCAGTCATATTGAACTTCTTTAATAATTGCTCAATATATTTGGTCTAGTGTATAAAAATATGATTATTAGATTTTTCAATTTGCATTCCTACAAAGCAGGAAAGAGGATATGTTTTGACTTCAAAATCAGTTTGAAGATCATTAATTACTTCAGTTAAAACTGATTTATCTTTACAAAGTAAAAGACCATCGTCAACATATAGACACAAGTAGCATGTTATTCCCCTGGTTAATCCAATGTACATGCACTGATCTGCTTTACATCTTTCAAACCCAAATTTCTTTAAAACTGAATTAAATTTTGTATTCCAACATCTTGGTGCCTGTTTTAGCCCATATAAGGATTTGTTAAGTTTACATACCATGTTTGGGTTGCAGTCCAATCCCTCAGGTGGAATAATGTAAATTGTTTCTTCCAGGTCACCATACAGGAAAGCAGTAGTGATGTCGAATTGGGTTATCTCTAAATTTTTCTGAGCTGCAAGTGATAATAATAATCGTATAGAGTCATACCTCACTGTCGGTGCAAAAGTTTCATCAAAATCTATCCCTTCTTTTTGTGCATATCCTTTTGCACAGAGCCTTGATTTGTAACGAAGACCTGTTGGTTCATTTTTGATACGAAATACCCACTTACATCCGATAGGCTTGGTGTTTTGGGGTTTTTCTACCAATGTCCAAGTAACATTTTTAGAATGTGACTCTAATTCTTCTTTTATTGAAGTTTTCCACTTTTCAGATTCAAAGGAGTTTAAAGCTTCTTTGTAATTCTGAGGAATAGAATTTATTTTTTCTTCACTGTAGCACATGTAAGTCTTATCGTTATTTTCATTTAATTTTCTTCTTGGTCTCAATATTATTTTAGAAGGTGTTGACGATAGTTGAACATCTATATTTGGTTTATACTCGGGATCTTCGTTATCTTCTTGGTCTGACATATATTCACTGGTAGTGTTTGAAGAATCTGATGTGTCATTAGAATTCGGAGATGTAGAATTATCATTTTGTTCCAATGATGTATCACACATTATTTCTTTCTCGGTCAGATTTATAGGAAGATAGTTTCTCTTTACTGTGGTCTCTAAGAAAACGGCGTCTCTGCTTTTAATCACAGTTTTTGAGATAGGTATTATAAACCTATACCCTTTTGTATTATCACAGTATCCGATGAATACAGCTTTCTGTGATTTGCTGAACCACTTCTTACGTTTTTCTTTTGGGATATGTATCATTGCTTCACAGCCAAATATTTTAAGATGACTTATATTTGGTTTCTTCTGGAGTTTTAAAAGCCAGTGAACGTGTTGGAGATCTATTAATGAGGTAAGCAGCTATGTGTATTGCTTCTGCCCAGTACTGTTTAGGAAGTTTTGCATTAATCAACAGACACTTTGCTTTTTCAACAAGCGTGCGATTCATACGTTCGGAAACACCATTTTGTTCCGGTGTATAAGGCACTGTTGTTTGATGGACGATACCAGCTGTTGCTACTTTACTTGTTTACTTTTTTAGGGCTACTGGGCCCATAACCTGTTGAATTATTTTGAATAAGTGGAAGTAGGTTTTATGAGAATAAACGTTTATTGTAATAGAATTACAATTTTATGCACTCTACTCGTAGTGTCACGGAATAGTATTATTTATTAATATATAGTAACTATAGCAAACTAACAAACTAGGAAATTACATTAGAAGGCGCTGAATTTAAATTAACATTTCAATAATTTACTTAATATTCTTGATTTATAGTGCTCAATCATATCCTGCAAGCAAGCAACTTATTTCAGAAACACCCTTTATAAGAAAGTTTCAGTCAAAAAAGGAGAGCCTGTATTAGTGTACTCGCGTAAAATATGAAACTTCTTTAAATTGTATATTATAGTAAGTATTAAAACAAAAAAAAAATAGCTTTAACTATTGCATCAACTAATTACTAAACACCAGAAAAATACAACTTTATTTCGAGCGGACAAATGTGGAATATCGATTTAGTTTTGTTAAAAACTGTTACGTTTGCACCATACAAAACTGCAGGGGAATTAAAACTAAAAACAAACACAAACGTATATGTAATACATATGCAGTACAGCGTAAGCGCGATCTGCTGACAATTTGTTAAAATGGCAATTTTCGAATTATCGGTTGCCACCAACAAGCTGATTTCTGAAGCCTTTTAAAATGACTCATTTTAGATATATTTATCAGGGGTCACACTTTTCGGTTTTATACCATAGTAAATTTCCTTCCTAACGTAGATAAAAAATCTATCACTGTAAAACTTCCGTCAAAATAGACTTCCCTATGGTGCATATGAGACGAGTAATAAATGAATCTATGTCAATAGTTTAAAATGAAATTTTACAAATGAAAATAAATATCCTACTTTTGCTATATACATTTTTATAGGTTGTGAAGATGATGGTAGTGGTTGTTATAATATTCGCCGTTTGCTGGTTGCCATTTCATCTTTACTTCATCGTGACATCTTATCATCCCGAGATCACCAGTTCCCCATACATTCAAGAAACTTATCTGGTCATCTACTGGTTAGCGATGAGTAATTCTATGTACAATCCAATTATTTACTGCTGGATGAATGCAAGGTAAATTGATTGAAAAGCAAAACTATTTTAAATTTGTGTTTGTACAAAAAGTATTTCGTTTTTTATTATAGGTAGTTAAAATTGCAATTTCTCGATAGTAATATGTTCAAGAATGAAATTCTGTGAAGTAGAATTTCACATAAAGTACTTAAAAACCAAATACGTGTTTCCATACCCAAAGTATCATTCCTAGTTGAAAATTACACGTAAACTAAACAAATTAAAAAGATTAATATATATGATTATATTATGAATAATGTGATTAATTAATAATGCATAGATACATATTAAACCCATTCGACCCTGAAAATACAGAATCTATATTGTTTTGCTATTTTATTGTTTTATTGGTTACAAAGGAATACAAAACAACGTCCCTTAATAAATTCCACACAAAACCATTTTTTTGCGCTTTTCTTCTATGATTTCGCCGTGAAACCATTAGTACCTATCGAGTATGGCGTTTACTAATTCTTATCGAATAAGTACAAATTGTGTGGTTCTATAGCAGTGCCCAGTTGGCATATCTTCTTGACATATCATGAATTGGTTTTGCGACTCATAATTATAGCGTTTTTCCCGAGGTTAGAAGCGTTCGAAATGTGGCACGAAGTAACAGATACAAAACACTATATATACAATTAAACGTAAAAGGAACGTGAGTCCGCGTGTGGCTCTACTAACACTCTCAACTAAACCACCAGATTATGTCTTGTTTGTACTAACTCAAAACTATCACTACTTACAACATTATTGTGCCCTTATTGACCTTGAATAAGGATCTCACTAGAAAACTTCGTACTTACCGAGAATGCACAACTGCTTCACCACTATCTAGGCACACACCACTAGGCCTATCCTTAAGACCACTCTAATGTTCCACCTAGGGAAGACTCGTAAAGGGAACTTAAGAACGTAGCTGATTCTATCGTTTATAAAAAACTTTCATTCCCACCAGCCCCTAATGCTGGTAGGTGGGCAGTCCCTCCGAACTACGCCGGAAAATAGGGCAAAAGGCCCTCTTCAGCCTCCTTTCAGGAATCGTGGTAATGGGTAGGTGGTGGTTCGTATGAGAAAAATTAAACGGTTGAATTGAAGACAGAAGAGAATGGGAGATATTTGTGTAATATTACTGCCACAGAAGAACATTGTGGTTTCTATATGATGTGTCTCTTTGTATGTGTATTTATTATTGTTTGTGGGGATTTGCGTGTGTGTAAGTGGATGTTTTTATTTTTGGGGGTTGGGAACGTTTCTAGTATTTTTTTGTTTAATTTTTCCTCGAGGAGGAGAAATCATCAGTCAATGGGGCTAGTGTCGGATTAGCTGAAACGCCTACCTACTAAAACCCCTCCTCGACTAGGGAGATCAACCCGGAGGTAATACATCCCAGGAATGATTCAGTGGGAAGAGGTTAGGAGCGGGAAGAGGAATGGGTGTAGGAAAGAAACATTGGATGAAAATGGTAATCGATAGCCCACCTCGGATGAGCTTCTGATAATTGTGCTGAACGCACGGATTTTTGTTTGAAGGGATATGGAGCTGTTTTGGAAGAAGGACTTGGCGGAGAAAAAGGCGACCAGGGCCTTGGCACGGGTGGCAAGGATGTGCTTTCGTCATGTCAGTGTTCTCTGTAGAAGACAATGCCGAGGTAAGTAAGTAACGAAAATGCTCCATTTGATGCGATGGTTGTTAACGCTGATGGCGGAAAGTTTTTGGGTTCTTCGGGAGAAGAAAATTGCTTCCAACTTGGCCTCGTTAATGGAGAGTTTCCATTTCGGTACAAATTTAGTAGCAGGAGCAGGAATGTTTTGGGCGATGTTATCGGCGTAGAGAGCTGTGACGATCAAGGGATGGGACGGCATGTCTGCGCAGAAAGGATTGAACAGAAGTGGTGACAGCTTGGAGCTTTGGGGGACATCAGCCGTGACAGGTTTGCTTGAGGATAAAACAGAGACAACGCTGACACGGAAGGTTCTGTCAGAGAGGAAGGAACGGATAACCTCGATTAGGAAGTGTAGGGTGTTGAGGGCGATTTAGTGATGAGATCTTCTTGCCAAACTCGATCGAAAGCTTGCTGGATGTCGAGCAGAAGCATGGAAGTATGACGGCGCTTATTTAGGTTATCAGAGATGTGTTCGGAAACACGGGAGAAGTTGATGGCCAGTGTCATGCTATCTACGGAAACCGTATTGAAAGTCGGGAAGTAGGTTGTTGCACTCCACAGACTGTATATCATTCGTAGAGATAGCTTCGTAGACTCCACGGAGGACGACATAAAGTTCTCTGTCTTGTTGAAATTGGTTGGTTGAGAACTCAACCCTGGATTCGTTGAGATACGACGATAGGCTACGAAAATAGTTCACGGAGTTGGGGTAAACTCTGATCGAGTTTTGGGTGTTAATGGCCCAACGGGTGGTAATACCGTGGTTGTCCATGACGGATAACAATGGGTAGGGGAGCTTTAGAGCCTTGGTTTAGTTGCTCTGTTTCCGACTTAACGTAGCGCGCTTGGACTGCAGCTCGCTCGCTAGGGTTAAGGCTTCCGCAAGGGAAAGTCTCTCAAAGAGTGCGGGGCTTTTGGGGGTAGCCATTGCTAGAATGGTTAACGCACTGGAGTGAAATTACTCTTGTTTTAGTTGGGTTGGCATACGGAAAAGAAAAAATAGTTTGGTTAGGTAATGGTTAAAATAGAGCAATAGAATTATTTTACCATTACCAACTGAACGGCTGGGCTACTGCTGTTTATTTTATTTATTTATTTGAACCAGAAGTAATTACATACATACATATATTATTACATATAAATTGCAGTAATTCTGCAGAGGTAATAAGTTACCTTTNTACCAACTGAACGGCTGGGCTACTGCTGTTTATTTTATTTATTTATTTGAACCAGAAGTAATTACATACATACATATATTATTACATATAAATTGCAGTAATTCTGCAGAGGTAATAAGTTACCTTTTCGCAGTTAAACCTGAATAATAAATAGAAATTAAACCCGGTGGTTTAGCTGTAGATACGAACGGCTGGAGCGTTCGGCTGTTGAACAGTGTTTGTGTAGAACTGTCGGTTGCAAGGCTGGTAGACTGGAGGTTCGTTTCTGCTGGAATTGTCCATTGGCTTCGAAGGTTAAGTCTAGAGTGAACGTTTCTAGAGAAAAAATATTTTTGGGTATTTCATTCCCACTGGACTACATCGGAAGGTAGGGCGGAAGATCCTCTTCAGCCTCCTATCAGAAATCGTGGGAATGGGTGGGTGGTAATTCGGGTGTAAAAAAATGAGACGGACGAAATGAAGACAAAAGAGAATGAAAGATTATCTGTGGAATATTACTGCCCCAGCATTTGCCTAAGTGATCCAAGGAAACCACAGAAAAACTTGGACCAAGGCAGACGGACCCGGAATCAAATCAGCGTCTTCCCGAATGCTAAGCAATGGTCTAAACCTCTAGGTCATGCCGCTCGGTACGTTTCTAGTTGGGACGGAGCCTTTTATACTCGGAATGGAAAGAACGGTGTTTATTCTGCTCGTTTCGCTGGTAGAGAGTAGTCGTGAAGAGTAGGATCCCATCGTACGATGGTGGTACTGCGGTCTGTGTGGCGCCCTCCTGATCGGTATTGTGCGATGACTGGAGTACTATAGTGGGGTGGAAGGCGGCAAAATCTTTATTTTAAATAAGCCGTTTGCTACATATTGCTTTTTCTGTACATATATTCTTGAAAATGACGTATACATTTATAAAAGTAATATCAAAGAAGCACCACATTATACAGTGCCACTATTTGTGAGTTTCCTTTTACCTTCAAAACAGATTTTTAGGAAGGCACACACCCTATATATATATATACCCTATATATATATATACCTATATATATAGGTATATTTGTATCTTTAGGACCTCCGTTACATTGGCAGGCGCTCAAGCCTCCACTATACCAACTTTGTATACACCTAAATTTAAATCATATTTATCACTATGGGACCGTCGGTATTGCAGGTTTCATTAGAGGGGAAACACTTTTCTAAAATATTTTATTTTTTAAAATCAGGTAGCTCTTACCTCCTTATATTTATTAGACTGAGCGTACGTTGAAACCTCTCGCGCTGTTGCCATTTACTCAGTTCATACACTTGTTAAATAAAATAGTTTTAATGTTTGATTTGGGATAAATACCTAATGTTACTTAACAATTGCTTATTCTTCATTAAGGAGAATGCCATTGTTTGATGGTTTTAATTTTAATAAATAAACAACAGTTAAGGTTAAAAGTATAATAACGTAAAAAAACTAGACATCGGGTGAATCATTACTCTATAGCAACTTTAAAACGAACTTACAACTTTTTTTATAAATGAACACGAATCTCTATTGAACATTATTTTATTGCAACCATGACTACTTCTGCGACTGTTGAAGCTTTCTCAAATGCTGAAGCTTTGCTTTTACCACCACTGGCTTCCTATCAATGCAATTCTTGTTTAAAAATTTTCTTATTTCTTCCGTTGAAGGGTATGAGCCCTTAATCAAGTATTTTTGAAAGGTTTTCTTTAACAGGGAGACTTCATTTGGAGACCATTCTGAAGAGATAACAAATGTAAATAATCTAAAATACTCTTAACTGATAGTAAACTTACTTTCACTCTTTCTCTTTTTCCTGCCTTCAAAATATTCTTCAGCCTTTTCCTGTCCAATATTCTTCATTTCCTCTATTTTGGTCTTGGATCTGTCATCTATGTTTGAGTCAGTGTATTTTTCTCTGTATTTCGGCTGTTCCTTTCGCCGGATAAATTTCATTCGTTTCCTCTTCTTTTCATTCATTTCTGCTACCTCCTTTCCATCTTCCGTTTCTTGGTCGCTATCTTCTTTTTCGTTATTCTCCTCAATTTCCTCAGTTACAAGTCCATCGTCGTGGTGATTTGCTAAAGATTTCATATCGTTTTCTTCGGCATATTTACAATCGATCTCAATCTCTGATAAGGATTTTCCTCTATGTTCTATTGGCACTCCATTTTCAATCATCAACAAAAGCTTTGACACCTTTGCTGTCTGATAGACATCAACTGGAAGCCTTAAAAGTGAGAATAAAGTAGATGAAGCGATAAAAATGCAAAAGCCTTACTCATAAAATTCTTCATGGGTTTTAACTGTGTGACCCATGAAGTTGGAAAACTGTTTAATATCATCTTTGGACAGGCTTAATATCTGCATGACGGTGGCAATTTGTTTTCTCAAACGATTACTTGTTATAGCTACAGGGTTCTCTAATGGAATTTTTCTAGTTAGGTTTCGAATTGCTAGGTCTCCTTTGCCCCATATGACTTTATGTCCTGGTATTGAAAAGAGGTAGTCGTTATCTT